GAATGTGTATATCCTATTTCGCTGGAATCTATTTTTGTAATTTAATAATATATTTATCGATTGAATTGTAAAAGTAACTGAGAGTATGTATATGGGTTTGGCGTCAATTTCTATCGTTCACAAAACATTGATTGCATTCAATTGCTTTTGACGAATAGAAAATTGCTATGTTGCGGCCTTTATCGGTTATTTCTATTTTTGAAATTATGTAATCAATTCTATTTGAACCATGTTGCGTCTAAGAAATGCGAGAAAGAAAAAAAACCATACAGACACAAACAACACTTATACACTTTCAAGCATACTTGCAAACAACAAACTCTTTCAAGCATAAGAATACTTGCTACTATATTCTCGACAATTTTGACGACGATGTCATGGACTATTGTCCAATTGTATCACATTGTCCACGTATGAAGCACACTCGTGGCGTGTTATCTTTGATGACGAAAATAGCACCAACTTTGAATATATAACGAGACATGTATACATTGTATGGTTTATCATCGTTCTCATCATCATCGTCGTCGTCGTCGTCATCATCAAACAAAATCATAAAACCACGACTATCTGAAGCGTATATAGAAAATAGAACAAAATCGAGCAAAAGCCACACGTCCATTTAATTAAAGTAAAGGGTGGGCGAGCGAAAAACCGCCACTTGCCAAAGCAATTAAAAGTTAAAAGTGCAGATTCAGCACAAAGAAAGGACATTCAAAATGATAAAAAAAAACACAGAGAAGGCGAATAGTTCAGTTTATATGTATATATGTGACCATATTTCATTGTAGCAATGTGAATCTTTGCACACGCCATAGTTTGTTAACGATAAATTTATTTCATTCATTTGCAAAAACAAAACAAAAATCATAAACATCAACAACAGTAGCTACCATAACACACATCATTTTAAATGGTGCTTAATTTATAAATCTTTTATTTTTCGGTTTGAACATTGTTTATAATGTATGAACAGTGAACACGATAGCAGGGTTAAAATCAAAATCCATTGACTCTCTCTCTCTCTCTCCTTCTATCTCGCTCTTCCTTTTTCTGGTTGTCTGTGTAATTTCATTTGCAATAATTATGATATTTTCATTACACTTTTCCCAAAAGTAAAACACTACTAACTTTTATCTACCAACAAAATCTCTGCAAACTTACATATTGGTGCACAATTTCGGTGCATTGTATTATTTTTGGTACATAGCATAGGGTTATTTATTTTTAGTGTGAGTGGAGTGTGTGTTGTTTTCTCACTTCTTCCATCTCTCTTTATCCCTATGTGGAAAACTTTACCTACCAAAACTAATCCATAATTAATTTCCTCCATTTCTATTCGATTATTACACAATCTATCCATATGGATGTATTTGTATTTTATATATATAGCAAACCGCAATTGATGTAAAATGCATTTTGTTTCTAAGTTTGACGTAAATGCTGATCTCGAATTCGACTGTGGTGTGTTTTTTTTCGTTATTTAAAAAATAAATAACAATGTATTTCAATTAATCTAAATCGAGGCCTGTAATTATTGATTCAAAACGACGGTCGCGTGATCTAATTTCTATTTTTCAAATTGTTCATAGCCACGACGACAACAACGGAAGCTACTTATTGATAATTCGAAAGCTATAACCACGCCATTTTACTTTCTGTCCCCGTTTTGCTGTCCGCACAACATTGGCATAGCCCAACAAAAGAATAGTGGTGCATGTGCGGTTTTATGGGCACGATAATTTTCATTGTCAATCAATTAATTTCGGGTTGATTTTGTTACTGGTTATAAATGTTGACCAGGGGCAAGTAGACATTTTGGGCGTGTGTATGTGTATTGTGTATGTGACCGGTGTGTTATAATTGTCAATTGAATTATGTATGCGCCTTGACAGTGGTTTGAAATTCTATATGTGTACAAATCGAATTTTGCGTCACTCGTTCTCTCTTTGAGACATAAAGACACACTTTATACGCGCTAAGCAAAGACAATTATGTTTAAATTGTACGATATTATATTGTTCCGTTGGGAGATTTTCACCTCGACAAGACGACAAATGACAACGGAGTAGCACAACGGAACGAACCATGCGAAAGAAGACAATTGCTTCTCCATATATATACAATGTATATTATACATACAAACACTCGAAAGCATTCATTGATGTTTTCATGTTTTATTCATGCTAAGTCACACAAAAATAATGAAAGAAAGACTTTCATTTTCTATATTTATTTTCATACCTATAGCAGCAAGTCAAATGATTTTCCTGCCAACGTCTCTCTTTACTCCGATTCAATTCATTCATGTGACACATTGAATTATACTGGATTTTGAATTGGTTCACTTGTCGTGTACTGTTCGACAATACCATTTCCAGAACAATTCTCATATGGGTATTTATTCACATTTTGCGCATTGCCAAGCAAATAACATTTAATCAGGAACTGGATCACTTGCAGAGAGAGAAAAAATACAACAACCAAACAATATGTCATAGCCACCAAGATAGACATTGGATACACACTATCATATCTATGATAGCGCTTCATTCAAAACAATTGTAAACAGAAAATGAAAATTATAGCCGCTTTGTTCACCAAAATCCATTGATGAAAAACATGAATGGAAACAGTTGAAGCAGAAAGATGGTTTCTTTGAAGGTTTCGCTTTTCATTCATGGTCGGGAAATTCAATAATAAGCACATAATTTCCATTCCAATCTTGAGCAATAAACTGTCAAATCTGTACTGATCCGCCCAATTTAGCCTCAATCGTATACACGTTTAGCAAATAAAAATAATTCGATTTGTATTTTTGTTGTCTACTGAAATAAATTTCATATTTATTACAAGATTACGAAAATTCCCATTCAACCGAATTCTATTGCTTGAAACATGTCTATTTAATGCAAATTTTCTCCCCAATACTTGCGTCAGAACAAACATACAAATTACGCTGATTGAATTGCTTCTGTTATTATTATTGTTTACAAAGTATTATCTATCGAGTCATAATAAACAAGTTTTGGTGGCGCACATTGTCAATCGGAAATGTCATCACATTTTATTGTGCGAATAATTGATTGCGAAGCACGAAAGTGAACGAAATGTGATTCATACTTAATTCGCATTTCTGTCATCTTCCGATGAACTTTCTTTATGATAATTAAACTTTATGCGATTCAACTGAAAATTTTAATTTCATTTCGAGACAAAAAAAACCATTTCCTTCAATTCTTTATTACTTGGACTTTCTTTCTCGTCTTTTCTGAAGTCATTCTGCAATTTAGAGCATATCTATTTGATAAACAAAGTTAATAATGTCGTTTCGGTTGTTTAATAATAAGAAGAAAGTCTGAATTCGTTGAATCTTAGGAAGAAGAAGTGGAATTGAGTTGCCTGACATGAATACTTGACCGATGCTTAGTGGAAACATTTACAACGATCCAATCGGATGCGCTTTTTTTTAAAAAACAAACAAATATATATTTTGGAAAACAAAACTCTCGTACAAATTACGTGCTTAGTACAAACAACAGCAAAAGCGGCAGTAGCAGCAGCAGCGGTAGAAGTAATAGTCACAACAACAGTCATAACATACAAATTGTGCATAAACCATGATCTGTTTGATATTTTCTATGGAAATTTTCATTTCAAGACGTTTTTATTGTTGGTGCTCTTGTTTACATTGTATAGGACTACTTAAAAGAAATATTTACAATTCTCTTGAAGGACAACGTTGACGATGGTAAAATTGTTTGTTTGGATATGACGTCCGTATGAGATCAAAAAGTTCGTTACGTTTTTTATAGTATCCCCTTCTTTCTAAACATATTTGATTTGTGTTGGACAAAAGTTGCAATTCAATTATATGTATTTCTTTTATATTTTGATTAAAGGGTGAGTTTGCGAGCGATATGACGTAAACGAAAGGATTTCCATTCGTATACCATCATTTTTTACCGAAAAGCTACTCAGCAGTTGATTTAGTAGTCATTGTTCGAACGGTTTTCTTTTGTGAATGGTGTAGAATATGAAATTGTATCGCGTGAAAAAAACTAACCATTTCCATTTTACGAATGGATATGAAGTGAGCGTGTGTCGGCATGAAAAATAAACAATATTAATGTTTGATTTTGGTATAGGGTCAAGTTGAGAATAGTCGTCCGGCTACCAGGTGGCCTTTTCCATCATTCATGACTAGTACAGCTAAAATGGTAGAGAGAATCGGAATGCATGTACATATACACACACACCAACGCGCCAATGGATACCCACAACAGTCCAATCGCTTTAGATCCGTCGCCCATTCGTGTGTTTACACACACACACACTTCATATATACAAGTACATCCATGTATTTTCAATAGGACAACATCAGAATAGAGTCTATTTTTGTGCGATTGGAAACGGTGTATTGTATACTGTGTGTTCAGGCGACGACTATGAACGGCTTTTTCATGTATGAAATTGAAAAGAAATAGTCGCCTCTCGAACTCTTTATGGATGAGATGTATGCTTTAGCATTCTCGGTGTGTGTGTCTTTTTGCAAACGCGCGCGAATGGAAAACCAAATCCCTTAAATAAATATACAGTGTTTATTAAAGAAATATCATTGAATACTTCGTTGTGTTGAAAAAGAAATTAAAAAAATCCAAAATTGGTTTCGTTCATCTCTGATTTATACGAGTAAGGAATGTTCAGTGCAATGTGCATTCAATAATTATCGATAAGAGGCAACAAATCAAAAAAGCATTAACAATTGAATCACTTTACAATTCGAATTTTTCATTTCAAACGTTCACGCCTGCCCCACTCATCACTGTTATTATTATTATTTCATTAAAAGCCAATTTTTATTCTAGATGAAAACATTCAATTTAATTAAATTTGTGCTCAAACTGCCAAAGTGATGAAAACAAATGAATGTTTCTATTTCATTTGCAACTGGTTTTTTATCTGGTTTGTTTTGTTTTGTGTATTTTTTTTTTCTGCAGAAAGAGTTGTTTTTGGGAAAAGCCGATCTAGGATCACCGCCACGTAGTGAACGAAAATTATCCACATCGAGTTCATCCATGAAGACAAAGTGGTTAAAAGCGTTCCGCAGTCTAAAACCGGCTACAGCCATTGCGGGCACTGTTAAGTACGTATACCATATTTAGTGTGTGTGTTTTACAATACTCTATGCAGAGAGTGTGAGAGAGAGTAACATTTGTTTTAATTACATCGTGAGCTCATTCTTCCGAACAACTGAATTTATTACATTTTTATACACACATATTCATTTATCATTTTTCGGTGCGAATATGTGCGCATTGAATGCGAAAGTGTGTGGAAAAACAATGCAATTTTAATTTTAATGGGATTTTTTTGCTCATTTTAATATACCATACGCTAACATGAATTTTCTCAATTTGTCCCCATTTTCTTTTTTTAAACCACATTTTTGCAGAAAAAACGATCAGTCGAGCAATGGTCGACGAGTTTTTGATGGTGAAAATCATAATCTACAGGAATATACATATAAAAAGATTACGCCATGCGATGTTTGTTCACAGGTCTTAAGAGGTAAATCAATTCATTTAATTCACAATAAACATTAAATTCAAAAATATTTGTCAGTGTAGATATTTTTAGCCTGTTATCAATTTCTGTCGTGCAAAATGTAAAAGCACGTGTTTCAATTTTGGAAGGTACTAACGTTGAATACTTGCAAAATAAACAATCTAAAACGATTCGTAATAGATACAAATACATTTGATTTGAAATCACTTGACATGAAAAAGGCCAAAAATGCGTCAAATTAATATATAAATAGTATTAGTGATAAAGACAACCAATATGACAATATAGAAAGAAATATTGTGATTGCCGTGCTTCGAAAGAATATATGGAAAGAAATGAAAATTTATTTTTTCGATTTATTGAATTGGATGACATATTTTCTGAAATGATGAGCGAAAAGAAAGCACACAAAGGAGTTATCAGGAAAATACTACCGCCTACACACGCAGATCCTTCAACAAATGCCAAGTTAAGAAAATACTGTCTCAATAGAGCGCACACTTCGCACGGTATGAAGGCCAAATACGAGCAATACAAAAAAAAACAATTTATCAAAAGTCTATAAGTAATATATTCGGAATTAGAAACGGACAACCATATTTTGTTTTTCTCGCATTTTCCTTTTTTTTACTCCATTTCTTATTTCAATCATGTCTGACTTCAATCTCGTTTCGTAATCCATTCGTTACGTGATATTCTTTGATTTGGCTTGTGTTTTTTTCTTGTTCGCTATCTTCTCAATTGGTCTCGCAAAATCAATTTAATCAGCTAATTATCAGTTATTGTCTGTCGATTCATTTTCCAATTAATTTTCACGTTTACACGCACAGCATGCAATAATGACGCAATATTGACGGCCAGTAGTGAGCACGCCATCAATCGTTCAACATTGACGTCGGTACTTGAGTCACATGTTGATTGAATGTGCGTAGTTCTGAATTATTATTTTTTTCGTCTTCATTTGTTTGAAAAGCCATGCTTCGAACGGCATTCAAATATGATTTAATGGGAGTCGCGTATAAGCGATAAGAAAATATGAATGGGCTTAAAAACGAAATTAGAAACGATACTTATTTATTCTTGTCCATGGTCAAAAAATGACCGTTGAAATGATCTTTTGGCTTATTTGCGGGAATTTTGTGTTCCAGCCCCATATGCTGACTTAAGGCCTCAACCACTTTGTATCGAAGTTTTCATATTTTTGCACACGTGGCAAAGACATAAGTAATGGGGAAGGGCAGAAGACAATGCCATTTGTTTTAGTCTCCAAGGAATGTGTATGTGTGCATAAAATGAATAGCCAAAGATTATTACCATATCCGGAAAAAACAAAGTTAGAAACTTATTGCGCGCTCCGAATACAGAACAACGAATAAGCTGTACGAAAATCGACAATAATGACAATCGTTTTCGTATTTGAATGAAATATTTATGGCATTATTTCCGTAAAGTTGCCGTTTGAATTTATGCCGAATATAAAAGTATGGGGAAAGTGGTAATGGTCAATCTCGGTGGAATTGGCAGTTAGGCTAGTTAGTTTTTACAGAGATTAGTAGCTGGAACATTTGCTCATTTGAATTCAATATACTATATAACTTAGATAGTGAATCAACAACGCAAACATACATCAATATTTTACATACGATTTAACTCTTCTTTCCATCCAATTCAATTCTGATATTCTTTCTCTCCCTCTCTCTCTCTCTCTCGCACACGCACACGCACACAGGTCACACACGGCAAGGGCTTCGATGTCGGAATTGCAAGTCGAATGTCCATGTTGACTGTGCCGCTCAATTGACCAAATGCCAGGCAAAGCAAAAGTTGTTGCGACGACAAAAAAGCACATCGGAAATTGTAACCAATCGTGTCGACATCGATGACAGTAAGTAAAAAATAATCAATACTCCAACCTGTATACAATTGCAAAGCAAATAATTTTGCGAAGAAAATTAAAAAAGAGAGAGCGGGGAACCTAATCCGATCCCGATTCTCTCATGTGTGTGTGCAAATACAAAATCAAATTACTTAATTGTGTAATTGGTCTATCTGTTACATTTGCATACATATACATTTTATTAAGAATCGTATCATTTTCGTTTTTCTTTCCGGTTCGGAATCGTTCAATTTTGTTTATTAATTTTAATATTTGTGTGGAAAATGTCTGTCTATAAACACTGAAAGTATAAACAGCCGTTTAATATTGCGTAAATTCGTGTTCATATTCATTTCAAAAAAAAAAAAAAAAAAAAAACAATAACAACAAAAAATTCATTTATCTATATTTGCAACATTTGATTAACGATTGATTTGCTCGTTCCTTTGTTCGCCAAATTCAAATCAAGCATTGATTCATTTTCACATTTTTGATCACACAATCAAAAAGTACGATAGAGGCCAAAGTTTTCTGCTACGGTTTAATCGAATACGAAATACAATGAATATCAATGTTTTATTTGAATTTGTCACACAGAGACTGAAATTGCTAATTGTATAAAATTAATTTGCATTCCAAACAACCAATAACATAGTTTGGTATAATAAAAATGACAACTAAAGCACACAAAAGCCAAACATTATTTTTAGTTTGTGGAAATTCATTATGTTCGAACAAAAAATATATATTAACAAAATCAATCATAAACAACATCATTATTCATACATTCTGTTCATTTTCATTTAATCTATCAATCTCACGACCTCATTTAATGTTTCAAAACCAAACAAAAATATTAACAAACAAACACCCCGGAAAAAACCCCAAATATGCAATATTCTAATCAAAGAACCAAACGACATAGACCAAATCTATCGTGTACTGAAACAAGCTGGCGAACTATCTGGTGATAAGACGAACACAAATGCCGCCGCATCAATCGCGTCCGGTAGTGGCAATGCCAATTCGGGTGAGTTTGACAACCTTCATATTCATACACATCATATGAATTCAATGCCTCCGAATTATTCAGCCAATTGACAATGCGGTGTAATCGATATTTGCTTTGCTTTATAATTGAGACCAGTGTTCAAATACATGTAAAACATAAAATAGACCCTGAGGCTGATGAAGCCATTTTTTTAATAAAATTCGTAGAGACTATAAATGAAATCCCCTTTTAAACACACAGTAGTAGTGGTCACTTCCAACCAGACATTATAATGAGATATTTTCAGCCAGATGAATCAGATCAGCCAGATATCGTCAGGAGCTGAAATGGAGTGAAAACAATAAAAGTGATTGTTATAGTGGTTGTAACAATTTGAATGTTATTATAACCATAACAACCACTTCTATTGTTTACACTAAATTTCAGCTCCTGACGATATCTGGCTGAAAATATCTCATTATAATGCCTGCTTCCAACACTTTCTGCTATGGAAAATGTCATATGCACACGTACATAAATCGATAAATTGTCAATTGTCGTGGAGCCTTGATCATATGATTTAGTATGTGATATGAAGATTTTAAAACTGTACTGGTTACAGTTGCAGCTCAGCAATCAATAGCCGCTAGCAGCGGTGGTGGTGGCGGTGGCGGCGTTGGTGGTGCTAATATGCCCGATATACCGATTGTTACCGAACCAGATTATCCGGAACGCGTTCTAACCGTCGCCCAACAGATGGGAGGATCTTTATTTACGAGAACTCATGGTACAAATGAACGATCGAACAAATTAGCCGTAGCTCCATTATTAGATGTATCGAGTTCAGGTGCTGATGATGGTTTCTTTTTTCACTCTTGTTTTTTTTTTTAAATCGACCACCAAAAAAAAGAACAAATCAAAAAATCTCATTTTGTGTGTGGTGTTTGTTTGCGTACATATTCGTTTAATGTGTATATCTGTGCGTGTGTCTATTTGTAATACCATTTTTGTCTAACGATCATTCCCAAACAATTGCATAATCCATGCTATAGATATAAAAGATTTTTATATGTACCGATGAATGTATTTTATAACCGAAAATATCAGCTAGCAGGTGATCGCACTTTGTGCAATGCATCTTTTATTTTCTATAGTCAAATTAAGAGCACAGATTTTTTTGTTATGTTCTTCCACTTCTTTAAATTCGTATGTTTTCAACGCTGAACTTTTGAACTATTTCAAACTTAAATTGCATTTCTAAATAAAAGTCGTTTTTAAGCATATCATTTTTCATTCGCTTCTTACACATATTCAGTAGAGTGGTCTCGAATACCCAAAAATGCGAGTTTTGATCGCAGCACATGCGGTATATATTAGACTTGGTTCAAATTGTGTGAACATTTTTCAGCACTTTACTGTATCGGAAACCTGTGCCCCAAAAACCTTGTACTATTAAAGGTTATACTCATATAGCTTATTTGCGGAGTAATTTTGTCGATGGCGGGACTGTGCGGAGTTCGGCGGAGATAGCATACAGACGCTGTGTGTACGAGTGCAACAGCATTCTTTGCTATTCACAGATTTATGTACTTTGTTCAAACGAACATCTTAGTAACTGTGACACACTGTTGTCATCGGCGCTAGAACGATACAAATAGATTTGCTGTTACGCTCGTATACACAGCATTTATGCCATCTCCGCTGAACTCCGGACAGTCCCGATATCGACAAAACTACTCCGCAATTGATTTATATGGATAGAAAAGCATATAGAAAAAAATTCTTTCGACTAAATAATGAAAATGTGTATTAGGGAGTTTTTTTAGCACGAGAAACCCGAATCTGGCGTCAGTTTTGCGATACAAAAGTTTTAACACACTTTTCATACAAAAATCTGAAAAAATCACCAAAAATGTGGATTTTGTATGGGAGCTATACCTGTATGACATCGTAATGACGTGAAACTTTGCACAGAACAAAAAACAACATTCCCAAAGTTTGGAGAAATTTCAAAGAAATTCAGGTATACCTCTCATAAAAGATTTTGTAGGAGGAGGATTTCAAATTTTAATTGACTTTTAAACTTGCCAAAAAAACCCTATTACACATTTTTATGATATGTCGAAAGAATTCTGTTCTATTAAATTCTGTTGATTAAAAACCTTTAATAGTACGAGGGTCACTATTTAAGTTTTTTCAAAAAGATATATAAGACAACGGGGTTTCATCGAAAATGGTTTTATTGTTTTTCAAAATATTCGCCATGATGATCAATACACTTTTGCATTCGCTCGAACCATTTGTCATAGCATTCATGTCACTCCGAAAGTGATATCTCCAAAACGTGTGTTTTGAACGCATCAACTAGCTTCTTCGGGCGATGAAAATCGTTGACCACGCAGTTTATTCTTCACGCTCGGGAATAAAAAGAAATCGTTGGGTGCCAAATCAGGACTGTACGGCGGATGACCCATTAAATCGATCTTTTGACCGGTCAAATAATCGACTGTTTGATGAGATGTGTGAGAGCTCGCATTATCATGATGAAGAATTATTTTGCGACGGCGGTTGTTTTTTCTTATTTCACCAAACACTTCGGGCAAACAAATGGTGGTGTACCAATCAGAATTGACGGTCTTACGAGCCTCTAGTGGAACTGTTGCCACATGACCACTTATCGCGAAAAAACAGGCGCCCATTTGCTTCGCAACACTTCGAGCTCGAACAACTTTTGTTGGGTTATCTTCACTTTGAAAGACCCATACAGTCGACTGCCGTTTAGTTTCGAGCTCATACGCGGAGATCCATGATTCGTCACCAGTGACGATAAAATACACGGTATTTGAAACACCACGATTGAATTTCTTGAGCATTTGTTTACACCAATCGACACGAGCCTTTTTTTGAGCGATTGTCAAATTATGTGGTATCCAACGAGAGCAAATCTTTCTGACAGCTAAATGTTCATGTAAAATCTTAAATACGCTGGTCGCACTAATGCCCAGGGATGCCTCAATCTCGTGATATGTTACATGACGATCTTCCATTATCATATTTCTGACAGCATCGATGTTTTCTGGTACAACAACTGATTTTGGACGACCTTCGCGGAACTCGTCGATGAGCGATAGGCGACCGCGCTTGAATTCGTTGTACCAATTATAAATTGTCCGAAGACTTGGTACTTCATCGCCAAAGGCCAAATGAAGTTGATCAAAACACTGTTGTTGTGATACACCCAATCGAAAGTGGAAAAAAATAATCGCTCGAAAATTTTCACGAGTAAAATTCATTTTTTGGCTGAGACGCAATTTACATGTTACGGTAAACAATACAAATAACGATCGAATGACAAAACGTTCTGAGAACGTTTATGCTACAAAATGTTAAACTTAACGAATATGACAATGGTTTGCATCGGGCAATACTAAAACATACATATTGAAGAAACTTAAATAGTCGCCTACGTACAAGGCTTTTGGGGCACGGGTTGCCGATACAGTAGAGCGCTGAAACTTTACACACAGGGTTTTTGGGCCAAGTCTAATACATGTATAAACCGCATGTGATGCGATCAAAACTCGTATTTGTATGTATTCGGGACCACCCTAATATTCAGCTAAATCACACACTGTATAATAGCATGTTTTTGCATGAATTTTATCACGTAATTAACTGCGTGTATAACGTGAGATAAACTGAATTTTGAAACAATGGATTAACGATAATTGTCGTATGATAACAAAACACTTCGAACTAATATACTAATATTATATGTTCCTTCGATCGCATTGAAATTAACTTAAACTAATTAATCTGAATTAAATCGAATTTCGAAATACACTTCACAGCGCTTCAAAATCACATCCGCCAATGATATAATAAGAAATTGAAAATCAAATCCAATTTTTACTTATTTTCAGACGACGATACACCACAACATCGCACACGACCGTTTGGTCAACCATTGTGCCTTATTTCCGACGAATATTTAGAGTATATCAACGATTCCGGTCAAAAGCCAAACACATCCAAGAAAAAATGAAAATCATTTCGTTTCTCTACTTGGCTATCTTTAGCCATCTATCCATCCTTCCATCATTTCAGTCTATTTCTCTTTATCCACCAAATCATCATCTCTTCAAAATGAAAAGAAAAAAAAAATGTGCCGACGAGAAAAAAAACCGAATTGTGTTGCAGTTGCAAAATGCCAAAATGAAGTGCGGAAAATTGTGTTCGTAAATCCCCAATTGTATATCCACTAGATTTATAGAGTTGAAAATTGTAACGAACGAAACGAATCGGATCCCAATTGGATTCCTTTTCTATAGTTTGGTCCTTACATACATTGTTCGAATACATAGTGTTTATATATAGATATATTAAAATGTGTAGGCAACATCCAAAAAGCGAATTTTTTTAATTCAAAGAAAAAAGCAACAGAAAGTGATGATAAAAAAAGCACTGCACCAATGTAATATTGTTTCTTGGTTTTGAGCTGAATAAAAAAGCGAAAATTAGTTTGTTACCTTTTATGATAAGATTTTTAAAGTTGTTGACCGCAAAGAAATTCGACAAATCCAAACCACTTTCTTTGTAATACGGAAGCAAAATTATGTAATATTTGAATATTTCCTCCCCGCCCAAAATCTGTGATAAGAGACGATATAAAAATGAAATTTAAAATTGAAGAGATCATAAGACAAAATGCACATACACAAAAAAATACACGAAACAAAAAAAAAACTTCCATTGGTGTTTTTATTTCGCAATTGAATCCATTTTATCTCACTTCAACAAAATCCAAAGTTAATGCACTTTTTTGTAATGTTTGTAGGTATGTATGTAAACGTTTTCTTATGTTAAAGTCAATACGTCTGTGCACAATCGTTTAGTATTTGATTATAAAGAAGCTATTGCTTCCATCCTCATGGGAACGATATCAAGCTACATATATCGTTTCCAATGATTAAATTTCGTGCACATAACGTAGAAGGAATAAAGACCGAAGTTGGTTTTGTCTTCTTTAAAAAGTATTTACGTAATGCATGCTTGAATATTTATTTATTTCTTTTTTTTTTTGTGTAAATATTGAAATATTTTTTTCTCATTTTTGCTTGATAAAATTGCGCCTCAGATGAAAATCGATGTAATGAAATCTGTATGCTTTTCTTTCTTTTTCTTTTTCTCTCTCTCTCACTCTCATTTTCTCTCTCTATATATGAATTTTAAAAATAATAGCTCCCCATTCGCCACGTCGTCAAAAGTTGAATTTGCGTATGAAATCGTTAAGTTTGGATTCGCCTGAATCAACTGAATTACATGGTCACATTAAACGGCGTTATCCACCATCAGGACCAGTTCATTTCAATATACAAGGAGGCTCGGCTGGTTTACTCGATCACAATACGCCACCATCAAATAATAGCCGATTGCACTGTAAGAATTTCTTTCGTTTTTCCCCCGTTCATTTTGTTGTTGTTGTAATATGTCTTGTCAAGTGTCTAGACTCGATATCATAGACGCTATTTGCTTCTATTCGCCTCATCGAAACTTGTGGCCACAGCGGTTATAAACTAAAAAATTTCATTCTATTTTTAGCACCGCTAAGTCCATCGACAGCGCGACGACTTGGATACAATCGTAATCTACGTACCACTTCAGTTGAGTTACCCGATGAAATGGGTGATAAAAGTTTATCATCAGCAAGCACATCACCATGTTCATCACCAGGCAGACAAAACCTTGCGGTATGCCACAACACAAAATTTCCATTCATTTCAATAATAATATACATTCCACATAAACACACAATTGAATTTAAATTAATATTTAACTGTGTTTTAAACTATTTAATTGCAGAAAGCTCATCGCCTTTTACCGACCAATTTATACGTAGTTTTATACAACTTCAAAGCTCGACATCCAGATGAATTGGATTTGACAGCCGGTTTTAAAGTGACTGTCATCGATACATCCGATCCAGATTGGTGGAGAGGAAAATGTTTGGGTCGTGTTGGTTACTTTCCATCCAAATATGTGGCCCGTTTGCAAGCCGGTGAACGTCCATTGCAAGTACTGCAAAACCTTCAAATCTCCGATGGTGATAAGAACGGTAGCATGACACTATTGCGCGATCAAATTGTCGTACAGGTAAATTACTGGTTTTTTTTTTTATTCAAACGATTTTCACCAGCATCTCGAGATTCATTTGTTGTTTTTTTTTTTTTTAATTTTTCCAATTTGTTTGTTTGCTTGTTCAGTGCGGCGATGAAGTATGTGGATCGGTTATGGTACGTTCCGTTGATAATCGGCAAGGTATATGTCCTGTAAAATATTTACAAGAGGTGTGACAGCCGAATCGCAAACGAACCGATATTGACACTGCTGTCAAATCCAAACTAATTAAACCAGATAAAACTCAAAAAATTAATTTAAATATTACGAAACCACAAAAAAATGTTGATTCTCAACCAAAAATGATGGCACGACAAAGAGCGCAGCCGGTTAAATTAACCGGATTTTGTGATATTGTTAGTCAAGCTGCAATGAAAAAGGGAAAAACAGCCACCAAACCGATTACAACCAAAACAGCAACAACGGCCAAAGCAAAAACAATGGAAACAACAACAACCACAACAACAACCACATCGGTGATGGCAAGTTCGAAAACGACCAAAACTTCCGACAAATGGGAAGAATTTCGTGAGAAAAAATTGGCCGAAATGAAACAGCATAAAATCAATGTTGAACGTCGTATGCAAACAAGCTGTAACATTGACGGTCAAATGTATTGGAGTCAACGTGCTGATAAATTAAAACGATATCCAAAACATGAAGCACTTCATCCAGCTTGGTATACGGAAAATATCTATTCGAATCATTCAATTGATTTAGAAACCGATGACTTTGGTGGTGGTGGTGCCGGTGTTGCTGTTGGTGATCAATACGGTCCAAATGAATACGATCGTGAGCTATTTCACAGAAAGAAAACACATATCGATACGGGTTATGGATATCCGAAAATTTCACGTAGTTGTTGTTTTGGCAGCGGATACGATGAACGTCCAAAGCCAGTTTTAATGCCGAAATCAAGCTCATTCACCGGAACGAGTAGCCGTGGTATGAGCAACGTACGAACAATGTATAGTACCGTTGAGGAAGAAAGCTATTTGGAAGTGCGCCGTCAAAATAACACACGAAACAATATGAATCGTAGTGGTTTGCGAAAATTTTATTGTTGGGAAAATGATCGACATCAAAATATTGAGAGAGATGATTTATACAGAACCAATTCACATCATCATCTTGATGATGATTGTTATATGAAAAATTCCGAAGTCTATCAAATCGAACGTGATCGAAATTATTATAAAAAACCAAATATCGATGGTGTACACGATGTACAAGCGACCACAAATGCCAATTATATTCGAAATATTTGGCATAATCGGAATCGAAGTGCGTCTCTGTACAAAGTACAAAATGTCAATGAAATTAACGGCAATTATTTGGAAGATTATAATATGCCTTATGATATGGCTCAAAAGCGACAACAACCACCACAGCCACCGCACCATCAGCAACATCAGCAACATCATCATGATTTGGATGCGCATCATCCATTTGAAGAAGAATATTTGATAATCCATCAAAATAAACCAAATATTAATTTATATTCGGCGCGAAATAGCTTTGATGATCCAATTTCGGTGAGTCGACGTCAAAGTTATCATTCAAATGAAATGTACACAAGTGATATGGATCCGTATAGTGAACGATATTTGAACCGTGATAAAAACTGCCTGGATATGTATCGGGACCAATCTCGTCACAGTATTCGTTCGAAAAGTATGTTGGAAGTGAAGCCACCAAATCGATACGATGACACATCGTCCGATTCGACCATTGACGATTTATACGATTTCAATTTTGATTTTGCCAATCAATATGAATTAGACTATCGCAATAATAATAATGCAACAACGAAAAGCATATTGGCCAAAGAGAATAGCATGTGCAATGCATCGACATCATTGACATTCAAGGAAAAGAATATCAATGTGGACAATTATTCAGAATATCGAAAATGCACAATGGACAGCATTGATGACACGGACAACGAACTAAACGATGTTGATTTTATTAGTCAAAGTGACGAGGACGAAGACATAAATTTCAATAGTTTAACATCACCACGACATTCGCCACGACACGAACGCGGTCCGTCACGCTATCAAACATCACAAGACAATGAATACATGCTTTCGAATCGTGGTGCACGTGAACGATACTATGATAATTGTATGTCCGGCACCGAATACTATCCAACCATCTGCAATAATAGTAATAATAATAATCCGAATCTCATCAGTTCAAATGGAAATAGTACAATTAACAAAGGTCATCATCAAATCAACAATATGGATTTGGACGATAATAAAATCATTAACAACAATACAATAGCGGTTGATGCGGTTGACGTAGATGGCAACATTGTCAATATGAATAGCCAAGAAAGTAACGGGGCAATTAGTTTAATCAATAATATCTTTTCAATTTATAAACCACGAAAATATTCGCCGGTAAGTTGTCATCGGCCGACAAGTGCGGCGATAGCAAATAGTCAAAAAGTTACAAAAAATATGAACATTCCGAGCACGGCTCGGCCATTGGGCGCACCTGATAGTGATTGTTTAACATCATTGAAGCGACCGCTGACTTTTGGACCATCTTGTTTTACATCACAAAAACGGAATTGGTTCATGCCACCAACCGGATCGGTGGATCAGGCCCATTTTAAAATCATACCCGAAAAAACTGGCTTGAAAATCTCACCGTTATATCGATTTGGATATGAAGACGATAGTAAATTACGATTGAAATGCACAGCTAGGCCATTGCTCTTTCCCTTGTAAGTTTTCGGTTGGAGAGTCAACAATTCCAAAAAAAAAGTAAGAAAAATAAAAAAACACAAAAAAATGATATGGACCACCATTTTTATTCTATTTAAAAAAAAAAAACAAGTGAATTATAAAAAATCTATTCAGATCCTTTTTTTGTCTATCGAATTTCATTCGATTTATCATCCAAAGCATATTTTAAGCACTTGAATGCATTGAATTTTGTGATGTATTATGTGATGCGACAGTTCGATGTATGTACTTTTAGTCATAGTAAATAAACCAAACAACAACCAAATTTATTATTAAAATATAAATAAAATTTAAAACATTGCTGTTAATGTTAAACCCCCGCAGAGCAAAACAAAATCAATTTAGTAAGAACTCAAAATACGACTAGATTTCAATGATAAAAACTAATCACAAAAAAGACACAAACACTTTCACATACACACATACACTTTTATCAACAAAAAAAATGAAGAAAAAGGAGTTAAAATGAATCTGAGCGAAAGCTGATATACATGCATCTTCTTTTTACTTCGCATAAGTTCCCAATCAAACCATATAGGGTATAAATAATTCATATTGCACGTGTAATGGCATATTATTTTATACAAAAAAAAAACAACTACTAAACAAATACTTATATTAAATTTAAATGAATCACACTTGAATTTAGAAGTTGTTGTTGAGACTTGGCACCTCTACAGTGAACAAAAAAAGACACTAATTAAGATCACTATTATTACTATAATTACCATGAATGTTATTTCAACAAGAGGAAAATTAAAATTAAAATCGGCTTTGGAGCATAAATGTAAGTTTTATAACTAATTATATTGAATTAAAAATCACAATTTTGCGCACAGAACAACAACCGTATAAGCATACATTGGGTCTCTACACGGTATCAAAATTCTAAAGCAAACTAAAAAAAATGATTTAGACAAACATATAGAAAATTTTAATCGGAACTAGCTATCACGAGCTATCATCAACAAACACACACACATACACTACCCTTTGCTCCGTCACTTAGTTTTATGTCAACATATATTTTTACAATATATTTTAGTTTAGTTTTTCTCCAAAGTCATTTGATCTTTGTTAAATAAATATCACACATTCCATAAAAAGTAATAAATATATTATCGATGTATGTGAATCAATCAAACAAATAAATTATTTTTAAATAAAATTATTCTTGAGTAACATATATAATGAAGAAAAAAATGATATTCATTCCGTTTTGTACTACACTCACTTCATAGTGATATGTGCCCAAAAAATCGCATCTTTTTTCGTGTAAATCCATGCGGAATGAATGACATTTTCCCGTTTGCATTTTTGGCCACTATCAAAAGGTACCAGCACCATTTGAAGCACACTCAACTATCATTAACAGATTATGAATCTTTCAAATGTCGGACGATTTCCCAAAAATACATTTTCCCAAAAAAAATTATTCGTTCGGGAAAAAGTTTCATTCGTAAAAACTTCCAACATTCAAAATTTGGCTTAACATTCATTTCAGACATTTCACAATTGGCAATACTATTCGGTATATTTGGAATTTCAATTTAGTTGCATTGCTTGGGAATTGACTCGTTTTTATCATGAAAATCAATGGAAAAATGGCCCCATTTTTCAATGAGTCCTCACAAATGAAACGCAATTAAGATCACAAAATTGAACTACACAATACCAGACAATATATTGAGCTAACTGATCATCCCAGATAAAATGAATTAGTCAGCTAAATGGGACGTTTTGATTTTGTGACAACAAAACATCTAAAAGACCAAAATGGAACTCTATTTTTGAGTTCACACATCAATATATTCTCTGCACAATACCACTAACTATTTTAAAATATCTTCGATTGATAAATCGCATCAATTTCGATTGCTGGCATACTAAAGTGGTTAAAAATGTGGAGCGATGAGTTAGGAAAAAAATCATAAACATAAATATTCATATAAATTTTAAACTAAACATACAAATGCAAAAGTGAAACAAACAGACGCGTAAATTCTTATGTGCTTTTAACAATATAGTGAAACAAACAACAAACGAAAACGCGATTCGGCCACTCCGTTCATAATACTTTGTAATGAACAGACGATCAGTACAATTACTAGTACGGTGACATCAATATGACATATATCTGAATTACGACATTTCAATTCCTACAAAACTTACAATGAAAAAAAGAGCCTTTCAAAAGAGCCTTTCAATGGTATTCGATTTGCGATTTCAAGTCAACTGAATATGTGCGCTGTGCGATTTCTGTTTGTTGGCTATGTTTTTTTATGGAAATTAATTTTTCTTCGTTAATTTTTCTTCATTTATTTTATTTCTTCAATTACAATGATCATCAACAAATGTTGGTCGCTTTCAACTTTTAATTTGTTCTTTATGAAAAAGAACGGGACCGCCACCCCGTGGTCAATAGAAATTCATTAGAATTAATTGTTATCTCTCTAGAGAATATATAGAAGAAATGCTTTGTTAATGAAGTTCCGTTTCGAATTTTATTGACGCGGTTAATTAAGTGCACAGATACTTAAACTTACTTGTTCACAATACCACACGATAAAAAAATAATCCACACGCAAAGAGCAAAAACTCACTCATTCCACATTTTCTCCATATTGTTTTAGCTAGACCTAGTGAATACGATTATAAACACAAACATCCTTGAAAAACCACATACAAGAAGAAAAACGGGAAATAATAATTAAATGTGTTTAGTGATAAATTCTAGTCGTATGTGATGCATGTAAGAATTCTAATTAACACAAGAAAAAAAAAGCACCCTCAACGAAACAAAACATAAAAAAAGTATGATTAATGCCAAACCAAACAAAAATAATGTTCTTATAGTTCTTGTCACAGCGCCTTATTGTAGCAAATATACATATATATTATCAAATCAAAGTCCAACTCTATCGAATTTTTTTCTGTAGCCAACGAAATGAGTAAAATTAATTTATTTTATTAACATCATTGACATTGTGCATTCAGTTTAACAATTTTTTATTTGTAAATTTTGTTGATAATCCATTTTTGTCCATTTTCAAAATCTGATTACATCCCTTACATCATTGAAACTTCCATCTATCTTTCTGTAAACAATGGTTTTTAATGTAACAAACATTTTCCGAAATATAAATGATTTCACACCTTATTCCACATATTAAATATATAATTTTTAAGCTATTTAATCTAATTCAGTCATCAGAGTTTTCTATTTTAAACGTTCGGCATTGTCTTTGTTTTTTTTTAATTCAATTTATATAAAATCCATAGCACACATTGTGTGTACACATACAGAAGCTCATTTTTCGATACAATCCTTAAATAGCTTTAAACAAAACTGGCTCTAACAACACTATTTTTCAGTCCAGCTCAACATAGACAAAAACATAAACAATCAATATTTTGCACATAATCACAAACTACAATGCCAATTACTAACTGTCCCATAACAACAAAATTCCACTTCATTTCGCCTCTACAACAAAAATTAGTGAATAGATTGTAGCTAGAGCTATAGCAATGGTATTTTTGCAGCTTCTATTCATAGGCATATTCGATTTTATGATCGAATGTTTGTCGTTCGAAATTGTATCATAAAATCACTGTCCGTATGCGTTGTTAACAAATGGTGTCTATGAATGGGAGCTTCGAAGGTAGCACTGCTATAGCTGTAACCACAATCGATTCATTGACAAAAAATCAAACCACATAATTATATCAAAGTATATCGTGTTTCATTGATTATCTTATAATTGTCGGAAATACTCGTTAACACAAATCGCTGTTTAACTACAATCACAAAGTGTTTTTTTTTTTAATTACAAACACATATAAATATACAGTTGAATTTAAAATCCAATTGTTGAATTAAAAAAATAGTAAAAAAAATCGTGTTTGAAAATATTTTTTGCACCTCAATGATTGTTATACAAAATGAACGTATTCAAATTAGTAGTAACGCGTCAAAAAAAGAAAGATCCAAAAAAAATCGATACAAAAAATAACAAACAAACCAAAGATGAGACATGGGACAAAAAAAAAAAACATTATTTTTCATAAGTCACGTTCACAAACTACTATGCACTAAAACAGCACTCATCTTCATAAATAAAAAAAATATGGAATAAATTAAAACTTTTAATTAAATATAATATAAAAAGAGCATGCATGCACAAATGAAACGAATAAAAGAGATATTGTTATACATATGGTAATAAATTTAAATGCATTTTAGATAAAAAATAAACTATTCATTTAATGTATGTCGCCAAACATGTCATACATTCAAACAAATCTCATAATCCATGGAGATGAACCATTTGATGAAGAAGAGAAGAGAAAAAAAAGAATTATAATTATGTGTGTATTTTTCAATTTTCGTGTAACAAACCTATATGCAAAAAACGGTATTTTCGGTATGGATTACGATATATTCAATAAAAATTGTTAGTTGGTGTTCCTCACATTAAATTAATATTACACATTGTCCCAAACATGCAAATATTTACATAGATTAACAAATACAGTGCGCATACAATTTGAGAATATTTCTCAAAAACTGCTTATTTCTTTCGGCTTTTTCCAATCATTTTAAAACATTTCCATGGAGATTTTTTTTTTTTTTTAATATAATCTCTGGAGCCTGAAATATTGTACAAAAAACCGTTGACATTGCTTCATACACAAACACCAAACATGGTGTACATTGATTGCCTCAATATTTCTGGTCTATTTAAACATAAATATTATTTTGATACAGCCATAGACAATATAAATATATAAATGATAATATGTAAACAATTGATCCCAGGCTTATATTCTTATTGGATTTATGGAGACAACAGCATATTTATTGTATCCACTGAAAATACGGCTTTGGCAACAACAAGATGGAAAACAACAACAAATTCAATGCACCGATTATTAACATAATGACATTATGATGATTATAAATAAAACAATTATGCTAATAATTTTATGTTTTTTGTTCAAAAATAAATTAAATAAAAAAAAAAGTTTTAATAAAACTCTTACACCGACTATTTTCTTAATTTGACAACAGTTACTAAAGATTTGGAATTGCGACACTTCAAATTTGAGTGAAATGAAAGTAAGTTTTGAATTTTATATGGATTTGATAAATTGTTAAAATTTTGTCCAAAAAAGTCCAAAAAAACAAAGTGGACATTTTTTAAAATTTACATTTATGCACAAGTATTGATTTTCAAACTGATGTAAGTATTTTAGAGTCGAAACTCTTCTATGTTTAAGATGAATTTAAATTAAATTCAAATCATAAATTACTTTAAATGAGAAAATTCAAAATGTTTAAGTTTGTAACAGAGCGACACCTTCTTAAGTAGATGAAATACTTAGTACGGTAAGTATTCCGATTCGTAATTGAATATCGATAATATTTGCCATGGAGTTGTCATTTTGACAAACATATACTGTGAAAACGAAAGGTCGGAAGCAAAACACAGAAAGTCTGTGTTTTGAAACAAAATTGTGTATCCTTTTCTCTGCTCGCCGTCAATTTCATATGAGAGAGCAGATAGTGTGAAAAAAAATGTTATCGTTTCGATTGCCAGCAACGTCGATTGGTCGTCAATTAATCCGATCAATAACACGAAATGTATCGCAATCAACAACGTCCAATTCAATCGTTCATCAAGTTTATCCATTTCCAAATATCAAAATCACATCAAATTATCACTTAAATATCAAACCATACGATGTATTGGACTGTCCGGATGGTAATCGATTACGAATTTCACTAAAATCAAAAGATATCAGTAAAATATCATCAAAAGTGGCTGGTTTTTTGGCCAGTTTTGATGCAACCGTAAAAATTGATGAGCATAACATTGTAATCGATACGGTTGATGATTTGGGCACACAAGTAAATGCGGACGAGTTGGCGAACGCGGTTGTTTGTTTAATTGAAGTGCCCATTAAATCGAATTTAAAAGTGGCCAGCAAGCGCGATGTCAACATTGAAAACATGTACAGCGATGATATCAATGTGATAACCAACGACGGTGATGTTACAACCAAAAATATTCATTCGATCCATTTAAATTTGATCGCACAGAACGGCAATATCCAATGTGAAGGCACTACAGTATCACAAAAAACTGACATTCGAAGCTATGGCAAAAAGGTGAAATGAACAAAGACCATTTTTTTTCATTGATATGTAAAATTTAAATGATTAAATCAAATTCACAATTTTATGGTTTATGCAGAATATCCATTTGAATCAAGTGTTGGGCGATTCGTTGACGGCAATCAGTGAAAATGGAATCATATCGACCAATTCATGTTATGCGGAAAATTCGAAATTTATTACGCAAAAGGGTGGCTTACATTTGAAAAATGTGCATAAAAAATCTGAATTGTATCTACTAGATGGAGGCGATTTAGATGTGACCGGGTTTCATGGTACTTTAAATGCAACCACCAACGGCGGTACACTTAATTTTCAATTGACCGAAATGTACGGTGAAAGTCGAATCGAAGCGCAGAACCCAAATCAATTCAATATCAACATATCGGAATTTGTTGAGCAACACTCATGTCTGCAAATCAATGCCAATCAAATTACGCTCGATACGACATTGGAATATTTGGAAAAAAGCCAAAAAGATGATGGCAGTGGTGAAGAATTGCAAACAGGCAATCGTGACATTAACGACGATCAATTGATAATTCGAACGAACGGAAATTTAAAATTAGGCAAATTATCATGGATGGATACAATGAAATTGAAAATGACCGCTACACAAAAACCAGACACCAAGTAAATTATGTTTAAATGTGTGTGTGTTTGTTTGCGCCCTGTGTTGCACGTGAAAAACTAGCAAAAATATTGTTCTGTACTTTAGGCGTAAGTATTTCTCTGTTGACAGTAGTTCGCACTGTGTGCGTGTATGTAGAATACCATCAACAATGCGCTTTACCGCGACTGACAGTAGTCTCACACATACCGTAGCAAACAACTCACAATACTCGACGTGTTAATGTAAAATCAAACGGAGAAAAGTGCAAAATAAAAATAAAAAAATTGTTGTTGCAATTTTAGCGAGAAAATAGTTGGCCCGTGTTTTTATTGAAATTATTTTAGCAAAAGTAATAGTTTCCATTAAAAGAAAACAATGACGCAAATGGAGTTTCAAGCGATTGTATTGGCTGGCGGTCGTGGAACACGTTTTCAGGAGATAACTGGTGAACGGCTCAAATGTTTGTTGCCGATCGGTCCATATCCAATGATTTTCTATCCATTGGAGATGCTACAAAGGCACGGATTTCAAGAAATCATAGTTATTGTTTTGGAATCAGAACGATTTGATATTCAACAAGCAATTGAACGTACACCAATCAAGGCGAAATTGGATTTCGTAACACTGCCCGCCGATTCGAATTTCGGAACAGCCGAAGCGCTGAGACACATTTCAGATCGGTAAGAGATTCATTCTACTCTCTTTCAATGTAAAATCACACACTTTTATCAATGGTATTTTGTTTGATTTTTCAGTATTAAATGCGATTTCGTTATCGTATCATGCGACACCATCACAAACATCGATCTGTTCTCAATGCTAAACTGTTTCCGAAAGACGAATGCATCGATTGTGGCTCAATTGTTCAAAGGCGGTTTGGAAGCCGATACTATTGTGCCGGGGCCGAAAACAAAACATAAACACGGTAAAACCATTTCGTTAGATAAACGGTTGGCATTTGGTTTCATCAATTTGTAAAATGTTTTTAAACATTTTCAATAGATCGTGATTTGATTGGTATTCAACCGGGTACACAACGTTTGGCGTTCCTTGCGTCGACCAGTGACTATGATGAAACATTGAATTTGCCATACCATTTGCTGCATCGATATGGTCAAATCACAATGCACAGTCGCTTAATCGATTCGCATATTTACATTATTAAGAAATGGGTCATTGACTACTTGAAAACGGTACGTTTTGAATATCCTTATGGAGTCGAGTTGGGCGCGCAAATGAAATTTCAATTTTCTATATTCCCACAGAATATGCAAGTATTTTCACTGAAAGGTGAACTGATTCCGTACATTGTGAAAAAACAATTGGCACGTGTGACAAAGCACGAAAATGAAAAACCATTTTCGATGGTCAATGTAAATACAAAGCAAGGTGACATCATTCAATTTATCAAACAAAATGAATTTGATCAGAAAATTACGGAAACATCATCATTCAACGATTCGGTCAATCGAAATCCATTCAGCGACGATTTGATTCGATGCTATGCATTGAATCCACAAGAGAATTGTTTTGGCATTCGAGTGAATACAACACTGTCTTATTGTACGATTAATCAAAAGGTTCGTTTCCTTTTTTTAAATTTCAATCGAAATACTTGGTTTTAATTGGTTTCTTTTTTTTTTTTTGAATTCGTTTTAGATATTTGAATTATGGGAGCAACTCTTTCCCAAGCAAGCTCCAGCATTGGTATCACCACAGGCCTCTATAGATTCCACACAAATGACTGAGTGTGCTGTTGCTGCGTCCACGAAAATTTCCGAAAAAACATCGTTGAAAAAATGCATTTTGGGCACAAGTAGTACAGTCAATCCGAAAACCCGCATTTCAAATAGTGTTTTAATGAATGACGTCCTGATTGAGGAAGGGTTAGTTTTGAATAGATTCGACTTTTTCGGATTCGTTCATTCCTTTTAATTTAATGTATTTTATTGTTCATTAAATATTTAGCTGCATCATTGAAAACAGTGTAATCTGTGATAAAGCAGTAATTCGAAGGGGTTGCGTGTTGAAAAATTGCCTGGTTGGACCGGATCACAAAGTAGCTGAAAATACGAATGCAGAAAAAGTGCATCTGTCCAATTCGGACTTTCAAATCGAATAAATGTTGAATTCTGTTTTTTTCTTCTATCTTTATAAAGCAAACGCTTTGTCAGATGTGTTAATTTTGTAAAAATCACTTATTTTCATATAGTAAAATATTTGATTAAGAATTGTTTTACTTACACAGTCAAATGTCATTTTGCGTATGAATAAATATGAATTGGATTTTTATAAAAAAAAATTGGACAATTTCATCATCGAACTATGTTATTTCCACAAATTTAACTTATTATTTCGTGAAATTTTTCTAAGAATTGTGGAATGAATTAACGGCGCCATCTGTTGCTTACTTTTAAAAGTTCTTTTATTGAGTATTTTAATCAAACGTTCGTCGTATTTGTGTCAACTTCTTATGTACCATACGCGCCACAACAAGTGTATCTAAAAGAGCGTCAAAAAAACTATTAAATTCCATCGGTCAAAGTGAATACAAGTTTATACACACAAGTTTTTTATTGCGTTCAAAATGTCTAATTTCGTTCCAAAAAAAGATCATTTACGGGAAGTTTTAATTTGCTTCTTCCATTTAAAGAAAAATGCAACTGAAGCACATCGTTTACTCACTGAAGCCTATCCTGACTATGATGTAGACGTTAGAATGTGTCAGCGTTGGTTTGCGCGCTTCAAAAGTGGTGATTTCGACACAAAAAACAAAGAACGTCCTGGGCAGCCAAAAAAGATTGAAGATGAAGAATTGGAGGTATTACTCGATCAAGATTCGTGTCAAACTCAAGAAGAACTTGCGAAATCATTAGGAGTGACTCACCAAGCCATTTCAAAACGTTTAAAAGCATAAGGATTCATTCAAAAGCAAGGAAATTGGGTACCACATGAATTGAAACCAAGAGACGTTGAAAGACGATTTTGCATGTCCGAAATGCTGCAAAATTTGCATCGAATTGTTACTGGTGGTGAAAAATGGATTCATTACGAAACGCCCAAGCAAGATATCCATTGTGCTAATGTAATGCTCTGTATTTGGTGGGATCAGAAGGGTGTCCTCTATTATGAGCTGTTAAAACCGGGTGAAACGATCACGGGAGACCTGTATCGAACACAATTGATCCGTTTAAAGAGAGCATTGAACGAAAAACGGCCAGAATATGCGACCGGACATAATTTTCCATCATGACAACGCTCGACATCATATTGCTCAACCGGTTAAAAACTATTTGGAAAATAGTGGATGGGAAGTTTTGCCCCATCCGCTGTATAGCCCAGACATTGCCCCTTCTGACTATCACTTGTTTCGATCGATGCAGAATGCCATGTCTGGAATACGCTTTACTTCAATTGAAGGTATCAAAAATTGGATTGATTCTTTCCTAACCTCAAAAAATGAGCAGTTCTTTTGGCGCGGAATCCATATGCTGCCAGAAAGATGGGAAAAGGTTATAGCTTCCGATGGCCAATACTTTGAATGATATGTTATTTACAGAATTTATGAAATAAAGTTTTATTTTTACCAAAAAAAATGACATTTTTAAGTTGACCTACCAATATATATATAATAATTTTCATATTTAAATAATAAGAATTTGTTCAAATTTTTTACTAATTCAAATAAAATACAAAAATTGCAAAACAAAAATTGCGTTAAGTGATCCGGCCATACTATAAAATGAAACTTCTAATTTCCGAATGGGCAACAGTAATTCGAAACATATTTTAAAAAGTTCGTGGATGAATATGCTTTTAATAAAACATACTCTTAAACATGGTTGATGATGTTACTGTTGTTATCGTTGTGTTGCCACACAAAAAGCTTGTACACTTTAATAACAGCAAGCTCATGGATTGTGCGATAATCACACAATATTCGCTTTTCTATTGGTGTGTGCATTCAAAATGTGACAAATAAAGAATGAGAGTTCGCGCGTCGAGTGTCTTTTCATATTTCGTATTGGCCGGGATATACAGACATTTATCATGTCATTGTTTTCGTTTTTTTGTTGTTGTTTTTTTTCTATTGCAATAATAAAAATGCGTAACCAAAGCTTGTCGATGACTATGATGATATTCTCATTTTATTGCGACGATGTGAATCAGACAATGCGTACTTGGAACTGTGCAAGCAGTAGCAACAAAGCGAGGGTGTGTACAAGAGAGAGAGAGAGAGAGAGAGAGAGAGATAACACGAATGATAAAGATTTTTTTCTATGGTTTTTGTTCGCCTTCATCTGCTGAAATATGTTGCTATTTTCATTTATATCATGCACTCATCTCTCTTTCAATAGCAATCTATTGTTTGACGTAAGGAGAACGAGATGAAGCAAAAGTATACATACATTAAAAAAACATAGAATTAGAGAGAGAGAGAGAGAGAGAGAGAGAGAGAGAAAGTGAATTTAGAAGCAAGTTTTAGCCACTTATAAGATGAATATATGTGGAAGCACAACCTAATCAAATGATAATATTGCGACATGTTTTGAGCATGTTACAAAAGACTGACAGTTGAGAGGCAAAAAAAATACACACGATGAGAAAAGCAAAAAGAAAACGGCGATATAAAAGCAAGAATGATAGACTGCATGTAAATATGAAATTTCATTTTAATGCATGCGTTCATGTTAGCACACTCAGAAAACCACTTCTTTCTGGCATAATACATTCGTCAAACATTCTTCGGGAAAATGGTAGACGAGAATATGATGAAGAAAAAAAACATTATGACAACGTCGACGACGACGGCAACGACGAAAACTTAGCGCGTGTGGCAAAGAGATAGTAGAAGATGTTTATCCATATTTGGCAGCAACAGCAGCGTATACTATGTTGCGGGGAGTAAACATTAAATTAGCGAATATTTTAAGTGAAGGATCGTCGTCGTCATCATCATTGAGGTGATCAAATGGTTTGCAATTTTATGCATCATTTATCAAATTCAATTCGATGCTTTTTGTGCTCTTTGCCATTGTTGTTACAATGGCATGTACTCAGGCTCAAGAGGTAATATCTGTTTATGTTTCCCCAAACGATATAATAGACTTGTTTTGTAATTTTCGTTGATGCTGATTTGTTTTTCTTTATATCTCTCTCTCTTTCTCTCTTCATTTACCTGTTTTTCGTACGTGATCGTTGCTTATATATTTGAATGCAAACTTATTGTGTACATTGCATTGTTTTATTTGCATCGATGCGAAGCGCCACAATATTAATGTCACACACAATTGAACAAAATAAAAATCGAA